AAGCTGTTCACCTTTTTATGAGGGGCACGGGTTTGTTTCCCAAGTTGACATAGTCCACACACATGGTTTAGATTCTTACCCAGTTTAGGTACTCATCTCACAAGCTCTTTGTTGGCTATCTTAGTTAGGTCTTTGAAATTTATTTGACCTAATCTTTGATGTCACAAATCAATATTACTTATGATGGCTAAGTGGCAAGTGAGATCATTAGAGGTAATAATCCCATAGCAGTTATCGGATGTGCGAACCCCATGCATGACAGTATTTCCCTTTTTATCTAAAATTTCACATTTATTTTTTGAAAATAATACTTCATAGTGGGAATCACACATTTGACTAATGGTCAAAAGATTTGCTTTAAGGCCATCAACAAGTAATGCATTTTCGAGCTTGGGAAGACCAGCCACACTTATAGAGCCCTTACCAATGACTCTAGAAGTGCCACCATCTCCAAAGGTAACAATTCCTCCTTCAAATTTTTCAAGGGAGGTGAAGTAGGATTTGTCACTTGACATGTGACAAGAGCACCCCACTATCAAGGTACCACATGTGTGAGTCATGTGTTTTTAGAGCAGTGTGAACAACAAAACAAGTCAAGTCATCCTTTCTCACCCATATCTTTTTGGTCTTGACAAAATCTGGACTGGCGGTCTTAGTAAATGTCTTAGCGTTGTGAACATCCTCATGAATCTTGGTGTTCCGCCTAGACATGTAAGCTTGTCTCCTAACCCAAAAAGGATTAGAATTTCTACCCTTCTGAGACACCTTACCAAACAACTCAAAGCAATAAGGACGAATGTGACCATACCTACCACAATGATGACAAACAAAAACAGGTTTTACCTCCTTTTTGTTGATCTTACCCCCCGTTAGGTAGATGACGAGAGGGATCACCCTGGTACATCTTCAGTTTTCCCTTTGCTTGAGTCTTCAGGTCATGTGATGTAGAGGACTGTCCCTTGTGAGTTGTCGCATTACCATAGCCTAGCCCATTTTTGTCACAAACCATTTGTTGAGACCCAAGGATGTCTTCTAATGACTTGGAACCTTTGTTCCACATGGCAATTGTGGCTCTAGCATCTCTGATTTCTTCATCTTTTTGACCAACCATCTCTTCCAATGTAGCTTATGACATCTCAAGGCTTTCAATCTTCTTTTCATATGTGGCATATATTTTCAGAAGTTCATTCCTTTCGGTCTCACAAGATAGAAGTTTCCCACAAAGGTCTTGCCTGTCATTAGAGATCTTGATAACATTCTGCTTGGCTGTTACAATTTCTCCTCTTAGTTTGACATTCTTGCTTTCACATGCTTTGAGCTTGAGAGTGAGTTTGTCATTAATCTTGTACAGATTCAGAGATTCGTCGTAAACCTTTTCGTAAGCTTGTTGTAGATCATCACCATCAATCTCATCATTGCCTTTTGATGTTTCATCATCTTCTTTTTGCTCCTCTTTCTCCTGGACTTCATCCAGTCAAGCAACAAAGGCAGGAAAGGAGATAGATGGTGGTGAAGATGACTCTCCTCGTTCATGAAATTGACTCAGAATGTCCCATGCATCTTTGGCCTTTGTGCATGAGCAACCCGTTGCTGTTCTTCATCAGAAATTGCTCCATGAATGGTAGTCAGAACTCTATGATTGCTCGGACTATCAGTGCTTTCAACATCCTCTTCAAGGGCTTGCAAGCCCTCAGGGTCGTAAGCTCTCAGAAACGCCTTTATTCTGATCTTCCAGTACAAGTAATTACTCCCATCAAAGAATGGTGTAAATTCTCACCATGAGCAAATTCCATTGGCTTTAGAGGAGGTTGAGTGAAAGTGGACTAGAATGCCATGAAAGCACTATCTCCGTCTTCATTGGATTCGGTTTCTTCGGGTTCTTGCTCTAACTCGCTTTCATCATCTAAAGTCACTATATAGACTTTCTTCCAATTCTTTTTCGATGGACATTCAAGAGCAATATGTCCAAACCCTTGACATTCATAACATTTGACCCCTTGCCCCTTCACAATCTTCTTTTCAGTTTTTGAAGCAAGTTTTGGTGGAAAAGTTTTGAGTTTTTCATTACTCTTATCTTTTGAAGTAGGGTCCCTAAAATTAGGCTTCTTTTTCTTTAAATTTTTTTTGAACTATTTAGTAAACATAGCCGTCATCTCGGAGTCTAGATCAAACTCAGTCTTAGGAGTTTTTGCAATCTAATGAGCACTAGTGAAAGCCACACTATCTTTTTGTTTTTTCTTAGAAATCTGGTGGGCTTCATAAGTCTGCAAGTTTCCAACTAACTAATCAAGCTTGAGGGTATCAACATTCTGAGCCTCCTCAATAGCTGTCACTTTTGATTGGAACCTCTCGGGTAAAGATCTCAAAATTCACGATGTCACTGAGTTTAACATAAAAATCATCAAACATCTTATCATCACGCATAAAAAGAGTTTCAAGGCAGAGGTGAGGCGTTGAAGTTTTAACCTTTTAACAGAAGTAATAACCTCGTGAATTATTTCAAGAATGTCCCAAGCCTCTTTTGCTACCTCACACGTGCAAATACGACGAAACTATTCAGGTGTGACGGAGTAAAAAAGGGAATTGAGAGCCTTACTGTTCCAACTCAAGTTTTGATAGTCGAATGCATCCCATTTATCAAGGGGTTTGGGAATATCAACATCATCAATGGTGACAATAAGCTTAATCCACCCATAGATCACACAGTGCCAAACTTTCTCATCGATAGATTTTAAAAGCGCTCTTATACAAGCTTTCCAATAAGAATAGTTTGTACCATCTAGTAACGGAGGTCTATGGATCGAGTTACCTTCATGGATTGAATCCATATCACCAATCACACAAAATCACACTCCTATAGTTTTGATAAAAACAAAGAGTGACCTGCTCTGATACCAATTGAAAAACCTAAGTGATTCGTGATTAGTGATTAGATCAAGATTTAATTGTTCTAATTCCCAACCAATTAAAACTCACAATCTAAATCATCAAGCATGTACGAAAGTGATTTAGATTGTTGTTTCATAAAACAATAAATCGATACAAACAATTTTTACGTAGAAAAACCACAATTGAAGCACCTTCAATTGTGATAAAAAAATCACGGGCAAAACGCCACAAATCAATCCACTACTGAAGAAAGAAAGATTACAAAGATATCAAACTAATTACCGAAATACTTCCAATTTGTCTTCAAACCTTCTGTATATCTTTCACTGCAACCTTCATTTTGGAATTGATTAGATTGATGTTGAATCCACAACATCCATTGTCGAATCAACGACTGCACACAGCATCAAACTCCTTTGATTACTCTGTGCTTGAATCTTCAGATTCTACCGAAGAAGAATACTCTCAAAGAAGATCAAACAAACTCCTTGATGTGTGCTTATAAGAACATGAGTTCAAAACTCTATCAAACATCAAGAAAAACCAGAAAAATATCCCCAAAAGAAAACCCTAAAACTCTTAGGCCCTGTTTGATTGGGGGATATGAAGATTGGGATTGGATATTATCTGGTGGGGTCCATATATCCCATGTTTGCAAGTTTTTTTTTAAGGGGATATAACATCCGGTGGGATTGTATATCCACCAAAAGTGGAGGATATACAATACCATTCCCTCCCCTCCCATTATATCATATCCCCTTGGTTGGGATATGATGTAAAAAGTCCAATTTACCCTTTTGTCTATCTAACATAATATAACTTAATATATTTTTTTGAATTTAATATAATATAATTATTGAATTTAATTTAATATAATATAAATATTATTGAATTTAATATAATATAATATAATATTATTTAATTTAATTTAATACAATATAATATTATGAGGGCAATCTTGGAAATTACTTGTTATATCCCACAATATATTTTGTAAAACAAACATGCATAACATATATCCAATCTTATATATCAAGTCAACAAATATGACTTGGGGGATATACTATCCAATACTTATATTCTATTCATTATATATCCTGACTAAATCCCACATCATATTATATCCTCCATTTTATATTCAGTGAAACAAACGGAGCCTTAAAGAAGATCTAAAAAACATAATCCTAGATTTGGAGCAACTTGAGGTTTTATACAAGTTGAGATTGTGAGGTCCGCTTGAGCGTGGGAATGGATGCTCAAGCGGGGACTCTATATCGCGTGTTTCAAACCAGGGTTTATACTCGAGCGTAAGATCCCACGCTCGAGCGTAAAAACACACCACTCAGCATATTTTGCAGACAAGCCAAAATACTGTGAGGGTGGAATCTCCGCTTGAGCGCCACTTTCTCCGCTTGAGCGGGAAGACCAAAAACATAAGAAAATTACAGCTCAATTCAACCCAAGATTGTCCACGGAATTTGACAATAAGTAGGGTCCTAACAAAAGTGAAAGCAGGCGGGAGTGTCTTATGTTGTTAAACAAACCATGACATACACTGACCAAAAACAATGATGCTAAAACCCACTGAATGTTGACATAATACTCTTCATAATGACAGGAACATTACAGTGAAATTTTCATTCTAGAACTTCTTTAGTTTGAGTGACTACCATTTTCCATACAAATCATTGTCCTACTTATGACTTTTGGTTTCAGGATAATGATCATTTCACGAATAAAAATTTCGCAAGTCACTGAAGTATTTTATTTTCGTCTTATCTTCTGATCTGGGAGTGTTTTTATAGCAAAGCTCAAGGAAGAATGGCTTCCAATTCCACTAAAAACCTTCATAATGATGAGCAATACGATAATTGATTTTTCTATGTTGTTCACTATTGCAAGCACTATAGCAAGAAAAGTGCAATCTACATGATATAAAGGATTAGGAACCCCTGAATTGATTGCAAACATAACCTTCAAATAACTTTACAGCACATTTCAAGATGACTACGTAATCTAATTTCATACTAATATTAGCTTTTCTGACCAAAATGTTAGAAAAAGACTAGAAAAAATTTAGTTCATGCCTTGTTTGTTTTTTTTTCTTGCAGATGAATTTAATAGCAAAGCTAAATAACCCATATATTGTCGAGTGCAAAGATGCATGGGTGGAACAGGTAGTCAATAAGCACCCACATTCTTCTTGTTTTCTGTTTTCATTATGGATTTCTCAAAGAGTAAAGTTGGTCTCGTTTTCAGAATCCATTTTGTAAAGAACACTAAAAACTAATTGGTGAAAAAATAATGAAAAATTCAAAGAACACTGGTCATTTTCATACTTTTTTTTTTTTTTTGAAAATTCAAAAATTATCTTTTTGGTGTTTATTTTCACCACACATGGTTTTAGTATTTTTTTTTATAAAACAGGTGTTTTGATTCATTTTTAGATACTCATTTTACTGCTTTTACATGAGATGAATTGCACTGGCAATTTTAATTAGAAAATTCATACATTACTATCAAACTTAAAGATTGTATATGCTGATCAATTACAGGGATGCTGTGTGTGTATTGTAACAAGTTATTGTGAAGGAGGAGATATGTAAGTCAGTACTGTACTTAATCAAGTGTTTAATTTTTCAAGATATCTGAATTAACACACATTACCCTCTTTGGTGTCATTTTCATTTCCAAGGCTTTCATTTTCATGTTTTTGGAAACATAAATAATGAAAAGTTCGAAAACACCCATCGTTTTCATTTTTTTGCGATTTGTTTTTTAAAATTATCAAATAATTTAAAAGTATTTCCTTGGAAAAGTATAATCTTTGCCTAATAACCTTGAAGTTATGGGTTTAAATCTTAAGGTAACCACTTTGTGCATTATGCCAAAAGTTAGGTGTGTACCCAATTTTTCTCCTCTCAAATATACATTAATATGTACAATTTGAGGGCTGTTGTTTTTTTCTCCCCTTAAAAAAGTGATGTTCTCGACAAAATTTCACAAAATAGTAAATTTTCCATGTCGAAATCAACATTGGTCTATAACCTACATATTTACCAATCCATGGTACTGATATTTCAGGGCTGAGATAATAAGAAAAGCTAGAGGAACATTTCTGCCCGAGGAGGTAAGAAAACACAAAAGATTTGGAAGAAACATCATTGCCTTTAGAATCATCTACTGATGCTAACAATTAATACTTACTCTTATTCCATTATCTCCCTCAGAAGCTCTGCAAATGGCTGACTCAGCTTTTGCTAGCTGTGGACTATCTTCACTCCAACCGCATCCTTCACAGGGATCTTAAGGTATATATCTTCAGCTATTTCTACTGAACAAGAGCTTAATTATGTCATAATTATCATCCTTTTAAGTCATTTATCTTTTTCTTGACTCCAGTGCTCAAACATATTTCTTACAAAAGACAATGAAATCAGATTGGGTAAGAAGGCAAAAAGAATGAATATGATTTGATTGATGTATATGGTCCTCCAGGCAGTTTTTTATCTCATGATCATAAATGTACAGGTGACTTTGGACTTGCAAAGCTGCTCAACAAAGATGACCTTGCTTCTTCGGTAACACCTCTTTCAGTTTTTTTTTTTCTTTTGTTGGGCATACATAACGGTTGAGATCAAGGCCTTCTGTAAGTTGATCAGATACCATTCACTAGGAAAACCATGTGTAGCAATTTGGAACATCGTTTAGTGTTTCTTAAACCTTTCTCTAGATTGGAATCTTACGACCCTGGTTCTACATAATCAAGGGCATCTTTCTACAGTGAGCTTAGACTAACTAACCCAAATGGACATCCTCCGAAAGATGGTCTGGAATGGTCTGAAATAACAAATCCTCTGTACACAATAATTTTTAGCTTGATGGTAGTAAAAGTATGCCCTATGTTCGGTACACAGGAATTCCCGACATGTACATGTGTGCAGAATTTATTTCCTAATCATACTTTATCAATTTATATATATTCAAATGAAATAAACTTGTATTCTACAATTGAATTAATCAAATACAACACTTGCATTCCATCAGTCCATTGATCTTTTTTCTAAGGTCCAATCTAATATTACATTCAGACACTCAGATAGATTCTCTCCTAGTATTGGCTTCAGTCAATGAGTTTTGTATGCTGTTAATGCTTGAGAAGAAATGCACCAGCTTATCTCTACCTATTAATGGTGCCTCCTTAAATCTTATGCAGGTGGTGGGCACTCCAAACTACATGTGTCCAGAGCTTCTAGCAGATATACCTTATGGCTACAAATCCGACATATGGTCCCTAGGTAGCTAACCCCTTTTGTATACTTCAATTTTTCTTCTAACAGAGCAGAATGGCGAAAAATGATTCTTATAGCTGATCCCACTTGAGTGGAACACAAGACTTAGTTTGATTTTGTTTGGTTTGAGTGTAGAACTTCATGGCATGACTCATCCATGAATGACATATTGCTACTGTCTCAGGTTGTTGTATGTTTGAAATAGCTGCACATCAACCTGCATTTAGAGCTCCTGTAAGTCTCATCCTAACCAATATTTAGCAATTTTTCCGTAATATTTTGCTATAAAATGTGTTAAAACTATATCACGCATGGAATCAGATTATGTATATTCTCTCTATAACTTGACCAACAGGATATGTCCACTCTAATAAACAAAATAAACCGGTCCTCTATTTCTCCACTCCCAACCATTTATTCTTCTACATTGTAAGTGACTAACATTCTAATCCATGAAAATTCTTACTTTATTAGTAATTAATATAACTGTTTAATTGAAATGAGTGGCTTTCCACACTGCAGGAAACGGTTGATCAAAAGCATGCTAAGAAAAAAGCCAGAACACAGACCAACTGTGAGTTTTCATAGCTTAACCCCCGTGTCTTTCCAATTTCAAAACAATGACTAATTTTGATGCCTGTATGCTAACACATGTAGGCTGCAGAGTTATTGAGGCATCCCCATCTAAAGCCATATCTTGTTCAATGCCACAACTTACCTCCTGGATTTCTTCCAGTGACATCTGACAACAATTACAAGGATAAATCACCAAGAACCCTACTTTCTGAGAAACCAAACATCCAAAAAGACCCAGAATTTGGGAAGAGAAGACTGCTAAAGGAGTCAGATGATGGTCAAGCAGTTGATGAAAATGCAAGTGTTCCAAGACAAAAGGAATCAAGAAATGACGTGCCCATTTCGTTTTATCCCCATCAAGCTAAAGTTGAAACTGAAAGGGAGAGTCTTCGTACTATCTGTTCCAAGGAAATATTGACAGGTGATGAAGATTCAACCACTGAAAATTCCCGGAAAGTGCAAGCTATGGAAGAACCTGATACAGTGATTGAAGGAGCTAGTGAAGAAGATCACAAGAAAATGGCAGCATTTAGTACTTGTGTGTATAGAAATGGATTTCTTGAAGATGAAAGATCATCAGAAACTAAGTCAGTCTTCAAACACGAGCAAGAGAAAGTACCCTTATGCTGTACTTGTACAACAGAAATCCCCAATCAAAATCCAGAACTTGCTTCCACTGAAAATATGTCATCAACAAGTACAGTGACACTACAATGTGCACATGAAGGAGGAGAAAAATCAGACGAGCTTAGTCCTTGCAAGCATACAGGAAAAGAATATGCTCATGAATTGAATCGGCTTTTTAATGTCAACTCAACAAAAAGTACAATAACTTTGTTGTATGGTGACACGACAAAGATTATATGGGATACTCTGAGCCAACAAAGATCAGAAGCTCTGGAATCGCTGCTTGAGCTTTGCGCGGAATTACTCAGACGTGAAAGGCTCGAGGAACTTGCAGGCGTGCTAAGGCCATTTGGGGAAGAAGGCGTTTCATCAAGAGAGACAGCAATTTGGTTGACAAAAAGCCTAATGAACATTCAAAATCAGGCTGGGAAAAAGTAGCACCATGACATTTTTTTTTTTTTGAAAATTTCCTGAGAAAGTATTTAGTACTTGCTTTCATGTAACTTAAAAAGTTTGAGAATCTCCTTAAAAAGTATTTAGTATAGGCTATCTTCATCTCAATCAATATTACCTCTACTTTAATTGTCCTAACACTGCTTTGTGTTATTCACACTTCTTTGGTGCCTAAAATATATATGCTCTGTATCAATTTGATCCCAACATTTCAATTGTGTTAATTTGTGCTTTCTTTTTCAAAGGTGTAATTTCGTTCAAAAATTATCTTGACTATGAATACTTACGGCGTCAACCATGGGGACTAACCATGGGGACCAAAAAGAAACAAAATGCATACTTCAAGAAGCAAAGAGTAATTGGCCCTTTAATTGTAACTTGAAAGCTTTGAGAAGTGAAAATTTAATATTCTAACTTGAAGGTTATATTTAGTTTTTTCAAAAATAAAAAAATAAAATGGAGTAGAACCAAACTTAAAAACACAGATAATTGTAATGGAATTTTAAATTTGATTATAGCATTTTATTTGGTCCACTTCGCAAACAAGTTTGCATTGCACCCTCAATCCCAACTTTCGTTCTTTTGGAGCATCACCATTTTTCATAGGTTAGCTTGCTCTAACGGTTGATGACAAGCTATTAGCTTATTTTTCCTTCAAATGACAAATGTAATTTAGCCATGTTATAAAAAAATAAAAATGTAATTCAAATTAAAATTCAAGTCAAATAATACCAAGTGTGGGGACATTATTTTGTCTTGTCCACATGGTTTGGCTGTTAGCTGAGGTGTCACGTGGAGGAATATTATTTGTCAAGGTGTGATGTGACCACACCAGAGCCGAGATATACAGATAGCGACCAGAGTCCTAGTAGAAGATTGATTCCTAGGTTGGACAAGTTAGGGCGCCTTGAGGAGGTTAATCCTAACCCAACTAGAAGGATGAGTCCTAGGTGATTTGTTATTCCTAAAGAGAATAAGAGTTATATTGGAATATGCTCACTAGGAGGAGGACACTAGATATCTATATAAAGACAAGCACCCTCATGGGTCAAAGGTATGTGTGATTTATTGCTTGAGTGAATTGTTACTCTATTTGTTTGTCTTTGACAGATATTGTTATTGATTTGATCATCGGAGTGCCCTCCCAGTTGACAAGCAACCAAGTTAGTTATTTTGCTCATCTTTTTTAGGTGTGGATTTCATATAGTGCATGTGCTCTTTGGCTTTGCTCCCGAAATCTTAGGAGGAAGATTTGATTTGGTTATGTGGTCAAGAGAATGTGTTGATAGTTATTTTATTTTATTTTTTTCCTTTCCACCTCAATAAAGAGAACTTTCAAAAGCCAATATATACCAACAAAAAGACAAGTAAATGAAAAATAAAATAAGTGAAAAGAGAAAAAAAAAAAGTAATTGATTGAATGAATAATGCAATTATTGAAATAAAGATTGCACTGATTGAATGAACAATACAATTACAAGATTACATTACCTTAAAACCTATATTCAAAGCTACCTGACGCAACGTAGAAATATGAACAACAGTAGAATCGCGCAATAAGGAAAATTACAACTCTTCTACAATCTGTTAAATTTTAAGATTATTAGAATTATAGGAAAAGAAGAGAATGAAAAAAAGAAACTAATTAATAAAACAAAAACTAAAATCAAAGGGTAAATTATACAAATATGTGTCAATTTGGTCCATGTTATTTCAATTTATTCGATTTTGCCTTTCATTTAACGGATTGTGTCATTTTAGTCTAATAAATAACAGTTGTTAAGTTTGGTGAACGGAAAGCCAAGTAATGTGTCAATTTGGTCCATGTAGTTTACACAATGTGTCAATTTGATCCCTATCATAGGGACCGAATTGACACATTATAGACTTTCCGTCCACCAAACTTAACAACCGTTATAGGCTATCTTCATCTCAATCAATATTACCTCTCCTTTAATTGTCCTAACACTGCTTTGTGTTAATCACACTTCTTAGGTTCCTAAAATATATATGCTCTGCATCAATTTGATCCCAACATTTCAATTGTGTTAATTTGTGCTTTCTTTTTCAAAGCTGTAATTTCGTTCAAAAATTATCTTGACTATGAATACATTATATCAAATCATTTTTATAGTATTCTATACTAAATTAGAATATTTTAATTAAATATTAATTTGAAAATAATAAAATAAAAATATATATTTGCTTAAAGTTCAGTCTTTATCATTTTCCCCAGTTTGAGAAAACTCATTCTCGAGTTTGTTAGAATCCAGCAGTTCCCTGTATATAAATGTGTTTGCAATTAATTGAATAAAATAAATAAAGAACAAAATAAATAATTCAAAAAATAATATAATAAATTAAAATATGAATTTAATGCTTACAGTGCGTACAAACAAATAACTTTTAGTCAAAACTTATGCTGGACACAATCTTTTTAAAGCAAATTTTGTAACGCCCTCAAAATAATGACATTAAACCCAACAAATAAGACATTCATTGACATATGAAATAACCACATTCTTCTGTTCATCAGAGTTTCATTACAAAAATATTACATATTAACAACAAAAGCAAAATGCCCTACGGGCTTACAGCTTTCCAAGTTAACACTTGGTTACAACAAAAAGTGCTAACTCATCTACCATTAAGCCCTCGGCTTGAATATACATGTAATACATCAAAAAAGAACTAAAACAACAACAATCTGCCTCGCCTCTAGCCTCCCAAGCTATGACCTTGGAGGTGGATGTTACCTGTACCTGAAAATGATATTCCCATATAGGTGAGCCACAGCCCAGTAGAAATACACTAAACCAACCATGAACAATGATAAAAGATTAGCAATTGAATAGTGGCCAAACACTGATTCGATCCACATAATCACATTTTATGTCGTCCGACTTATGAGTCCAAGTTACTTTCATTTTTTCTTTTTTCAACAGATTTGCATATTAGCATCTATCATCATCTCAAACAGAATATGTATAAAAACATATCCACATTCTCAACAGATATGTATAACAACAATATCCACTTTCACAGATAAGCATATAAGCTATATCTATACTACAAAGATAAGCATATGAGCTCTATCTACTTCTCTAGACAAGCATTATGAGCGTTGGTATCTACGGAGTTCATCCCTATCTTCTCCAACATACTCCGGTTTAGAGGTACATCCCCATCTTCCCAAACCGCGGAGTACATCCCCATCTCCTCCTCTACACATAACGTATACAAACACATTGGTTCTATATACTCATCATACATACAGTCAATGTATTCTATCAAACCGTCAATCCATGACACATTCCATTGATTAGTTTTCATTTGCCCTAATCATATGCATTGTCTACAACAATCCCGACTATCCTCCACGTAGCGCCAAACAGTTATTTCTAAACAGAAAATAATGCACAATGGATATCAATCAACATTTCATTCGGTGATGATAAATAATTCAACTAACCCTTATTTACCCCCATGTATCCCATTCTCAACAATTCTATTTCATTCCTTATTTTCTCACAATTAATTATCCCAATTAATCAACAATGTAATGGTCATTTCCCATAATTAACATTACAACCCTTAGGTCCCATTTTCATCAATAATTCAACATTTATCCATTTCTCTATGCAAACTGCATCTAGGTATTTATAAATAAAACCCCAACTTTTGTAAAATAACACAAAAAGCCCCTAAACTTTTCACAAAATTACCAAAGCAACACCCAAACATCTCAAAATACTAAAATTTAAGACAAAATCCATAGAGAGGAGTAGGATATCCTACCTCAAATTCAGCCCCAAGGGAGAAGATGACAAAACCCAACGTGCTCCAAAATCCCGAAATTTTCAGATTAAAAAGTAGCCTCTCGAGCATCAACAACTTTTTTGTAAAGGCCAAAGATGAGCAAATCACTCCTACTAGATCAAAACCTAGAGAGAAGGTAGAGTTCTAGAGTGAGAGGCTCAAACAATGGTGTTTTTTGGAAAAGTAGGAGAGAGAAGAGAAAGTGAAAAAGTGATTTGAAAAGTCAAAACGCGAACTAACCCAGTCCGCCCCGCCGAGCGTCAAACACCACGCGCGAGCGTCACTCACAGACTCCCGCTCGAGCGGCCAAACATCCCGCTCGACGCGGCGGATACACACTCCCAGAACTTTTACAGAGACCAGGTCTCGCTCGAGGCTCAGCTCCCCGCCGAGCGGCACTCACACAACCCCGCTCGAGCGGCCAACTCCACGCTCGAGCCTCCAACACTGCACAGGAAATACTGGATGGGTCAATTCCCACGCTCGAGAGCCAAAACCCCCGCTCGAGCGGACAGGTTAAAATCTGGGCAACTAGTTTTGGTTTCTAAACTCAACCAACCTGTAACAAACCTGCCCAACACATCTTATAACTCAAATACGAAGTAAAAAGGATGTAAACAAGATAATAATCAACTACCAACATCCACGGACACATGTCCGGATCACTGTACAACAAGGGTAAACCCGGGATCGCTATAAATTTCGCCATTGCTTCGGTGTTTTCGAGATTTACCGACGTCTGCTTCCCAAGATGTAACGACTAATTTTGGAAATGCAGTACTACAATTCCAAGACTGGAAAACCAAAGCAGTGCTGTAACTCTCTCTTTCTCACAGATTCTTCCTAAAATTCTAACTTACAGAATAATGTTGGAAACAATGGAGAGCAAAATCAAAAAAAGGGAAAGAAATGAATGAATGAATGAAATCGCTAGAATGGGGAAGGCTATTTATAGCCAACGTAGTGACTGTTCGGAGAGTCCTTCATGACTATTCAGACTAGCCGGAAAGCTACAACCAGAGCACGTAACCGGTCGGAAGGGTGGTGATTGAAAAAATTCAAATTCGAAATTTCAAATTTTGAATTTTGGCACAAAACTGAAAATGAATTTGAAATTCGAGCAAAAAATTTTGTCCAAAAATATAGCACAGACGAACTTGACCCACATCCAGGCCTGGTCAGACAGACGACGGTCGTGCGCACATTGTGGTGAGTTTTTGGTCCAACCCACTTTGTCCATAACTCATCTCCTTACAAAATTTGGGTGTCCGTTGAGCCCAACCCAAAGTTCCTACTTCAACGTTTACATATGTTGGAAAAAATGGTTTTATAGTGATTTTAATATGAAATTAAAGTAGGTCTCAACCATCAGTTGAGGTGTGATCAAATGAGTTTAAATTTTTGCATAAAAGTTATTTGTTTGTACGCACTGTAAGCATTAAATTCATATTTTAATTTATTATATTATTTTTTGAATTATTTATTTTGTTCTTTATTTATTTTATTCAATTAATTGCAAACACATTTATATACAGGAAACTGCTGGATTCTAACAAACTCGAGAATGAGTTTTCTCAAACTGGGGAAAATGATAAACACTGAACTTTAAGCAAATAAATATTTTTATTTTATTATTTTCAAATTAATATTTAATTAAAATATTCTAATTTAGTATAGAATACTATAATGTAAACTCTTTAGGGCATCCAAATTTTTCAAAGGAAGGGAGTCATGGATACTTCAAGGATGGGTTTTAGCCAAAACTATGGTCCAAGTTAATTATGCAAAAATTGACACACTCGCGCGCCGTGGGTCGTTGGTCGTGTATCTTGGGTTTGAGGCTTGAGCTTGAGGCTTACTAGAATAGAATAGGTTCGGGCTGGGCCGGATTGGTAGTCCACCAACCTAATGTTTTTGGGCTAAGTCTATGTGGTGGATGCAGATATACACGGATGTTTATATTGTGCATAATCTTTACACTTAAGATGGTGATTTACACCACTAGTTTTCCTTGCATTAGGTTTTCAGTTTTGCATAATTGAATTCCGCATTTGTTGCAGGATGGCTCTTCCTCTCTCCCCCTTTGTGTATAAAAGAGACCAACTTCATTGGTTGTCAACACAGAAATTCTTTGCTTTCATATTATAGTCAATCTGCTTCTATAATATTATTTTTCTTGTGTGAGAGAGTGCTTCCATTGTCAGTTCGTCGGAGCTAAACAGAATGTGCTTCTGTATTAGCAGGTTTTAACTGTCATATTATGGGAGATAGACATCGACATACCTCCAACACTCACAGTGAAGCGGCGAATCTATTTTAAGGAGATTGTAGTATCATACAGGTTTCGGTTTCCTTCCTAGTCTTATTTATTTTAGTTTGATATAGTTATGTTCATCATGTTGTTTAATTCATGATTTCTTGTTCTGCAATTTAAATTATTAAATATGAATCAAATCATATAATTATCATGGAATTAGATAAATAGATTCATATCTAATATATGTTTTTTTGTTTCAGGTAGTACAGATTCAATAGTAGTTTTGTTCGGTACTGTTGGAAATGGTGCATGTGTACAGTCACTGTTCCATACATGAAATTCATGATTACTAATTGTAATTTGCACTGCTGGAAAATCCACTTTTAGCGGCATTTAAAAAACGCCGCTAAAAGCACTAAAAACGTCGCTAATTCTTTTTGTGACGTTTAGTACCAAACACCGACGACGCGGCGGTCGCTATAACTTTATGGCGTTTGAAAAACGTCGTTATATTAGTATAGGCGGCGTTTTTAAAAACGTTACCAAATGTCATACCTAGTTGTATTATGACGTCACTATGGACATTTAGCGACGTTTTTGAAAACGCCATCATAGACATTTATACATTTTAAAATCTAGCCGTTAGAGTGGGATATAGTGACGTTTTTTAAACGCCGCCACAGCCTTTTTTTTTTAATTTTTAAATTGTGCTAATTTAATATGGTTGAACAAAAAAAATACCTGTCAAACAATTATCAAGAACTAATAATTGATGTTTATTAAAATAATAAATAAACTAAGCTTGAAAACAAAATTAAAAATAAAAAACAATGCATTGCATACCTAAGAATAGAAACAATTCAGATTTTAAATACATCAATTAAAATCAAAATGGTCAAGAAGTGTAATTTCCCCAAAAAAATTAAAAAGGAATGGAAAGCGCACTAATATGGATCCGTTGGAGAGATTGTTTTGTTGTTTGGTTCTTTGTTAAGAATCTTATACTTTGGACATGAAAGAGAATGGAGTAGCCTAACAACATCATCATCTGTCAAGTTAGTCATGATTTCCTGATAACTTAATCTGTCTGAGGCATTAAAAAACAGCAGCACAGAAGCCTGTATTGATGAAATGCTAAAGCTCAAACCTCTGCGTTAAGAATCATAAATCCATGCATTAGATTAAAATAAGTTTCTTCAACAAAATACCTCGTAGGTTGTCACAATGAGCTCCATAGTTTTGGGTTTAAATTTTCCATTGAGGTTACAAGTACCCAATGAATAAATCCATGTAAGTTTTCTGTGTTTTGTTTTTGTTTGATAGAATTCTCTATAAACTTCCACACACTTAAGCTAGAGCAGAAGTGAATAAATAGAATGACGTCAGTGGAAATGTTCAACAACACAGCATATGACATAAATTCACATTAAAAGAAACAATTTCAAAATTTCAATGTATGTGCGAATAAAAATCTACAAGCATTACCATTTCTGTTGGGAGGTTGAGGTCAAAAGACTTGTAACTAGGCCAAAAGCCAGTAGTTAGGACAGTAACAGTCAGGTCAATCCTAGGACTTGCATCTGGATTGGTTTTGAGGTACTCTTCAAAGTTAGTTTGATTTTCCCTTGCCAAAGTCAAATCTGTGACCTGGAAAATAGCAAAGCAAGAAAACAATTATTTCTGCCAGTATCCCAAAACTACATTAAAGCATGGCTTGCAAATTAATACAGGTTGTAGACAACTCACCATTCCTTCCATCTTTGATGTGAACTGACCACCACACTGCTGCTTCAACTTTGTCAGGATACTTCTCTCATGCTCATCATTGGCACTCTTGTCAAAAAGTAAGCGTCGAGCAAGCTTTTTTCTGCAACAAATAACTGCAACAAAACCAAGTGGGAAAATGTCTTTGAACATAAGCAGAACTATTACTAGGCAGCACTTGCCAACACACACACAACAGAGAAAGAGAGAGAGAGAGAGAGAGAGAGAGAGAGAGAGAGAGAAATGTACCAATATTAGGGGTCATGAATGACTGCAACAAAACCAAGAGGAAAAATGTATTTGACAGCTCTGAAAACTTGCAGCATTCAACCAGCCAAGTCACATATTCATCTGGGTGCATTGAAAACGTTTCTGCCATCCCTCTTACAGTATCCATATTGATAGAAGATATGTGTCCATGTTCTAATCTCTGCATTAATTTTAAGATAGCAAATTAAAATATATTTAGCAGAAGCATGAATGAGAATTTAGAATCATGAATGATTTACATTCCAAAAGAAACAAGGACATTTAAGGTAAAATAAGAAGCAAGCAAGAATATCACAAAGATTGACATAATAAGAGATTATGACAACCTGCAGCCCTAAATATTTAAGCCATTGAAATCTAGATTATCACAAAGGTTCCATTGAAATCTATTTCAGGTAATCAGCTCAACCTATATTATCAAAAAAAAATCCCCAATTGTCTCCACAAAATTTTAATTTTGGAGTCAGCTTGAACAATAAGATTCAGAGCAAAAATAAAAGGATAATCTCAAAGAAATCAAATACATCTATTAGATTATTAGATGCAACACGTAATGGTTGGTTGCTTGACCAATCCCACAATTTTACCTACAGCAATCAAGAGTAGCCAACGGAGCAAGTACTTGCATAATTTGTGGATCTGGATTTTGGAGGTCAACAAAAAAAAAAAAAGAAGAGAATTAAAAATAAAAAAAGAATAAATTACCAAATAGAGCTAACAGTATGTTGAATTTCACCTGGTTTCAACCATGTTGATCTGCTTTGATCCAAGAAAAAATATATATATGAAAGAGGCACGCAGAGGAGCCCAGGTTGATGGGAATACCTGCTTTTCTTTCCTTTCTAACATCTCCATCTCTGGCACGGCTCTTGTCAAAAACGAAATTATCATGGAAACCATTTCAAAACTCTGTTTTAGATTCAGAATATATAAAATTATTTCAGAAACCCATTCTAGAAAATAGAAACTATTTCAGAAACTCATTTCAATCAAAGAACAGATGTTACAAAAATCAAAACATTTCAGAACCGAAATAAATCATTTCAAAACCATTTCACACATAGAAACTATTTCCGAAAATAGAGAAAGAAATAAATCAACACATAGAAACTATTTCAGAAAATAGAGAAAGAAATAAATCAACGACAAACCTATTCCAGCCGAACCCAGCTTTGGCTGGTGAGCTTCAATACAATATTGTGAAAAAATATAACAAAAGATCTTATTAAACAAGCTAAACAACAATAAAACAGATCTGCTAAATTACAAACCTTTAAAGTTCATTAGTTGCAATATAATCACAGAGCTCTGTTATTTTATCTTCATTATTAACTTTAATCCAAAGCATCATCTCATAGAAAGCTAATCTTAATAGTGAATTCGGATTCCCCTCATAGATAGCTTCACAAAAATATACAAATTCTTGTACCATCTCCATGTCGATTAAAAACATCTTAGAAATGGACCATAAGTTTCCTCCTCCAGTCACCAACTCACCATTAAGAATATACTTAGAGCACATTCATTTCATTTCACAAATCCTGATTAAACTTGTAGTTTCTTGCTTAAAATTTCAATAACCAAATCGAGAGAGACAGGAAGGAAGAGCTTGAGAGAGAGAGAGAGAGAGAGAGAGAGAGAGAGAGAGAAAGCAATACCTCGCTGGTACAAATGGCGGTGGCGGTGCAGATGGTGGTCGCGGTGGAGCTTCGAAATCGAGAGAGACAACTTCAAAATCGAAATCACTCTGAGATCTCTGAGACCGATCTGAATCTCTGAATCTCACAGATGAATCTCTGAGAAATCAAGCACAACCAAAGATGAAATCAGATCTAGAGAGAGAGAGAGACGGTGGAGCTTTGAAATCGAGAAAAAGATCTTCAAAATCGAAATTGCTCTAAGATGAAATCGAAATCACTCTAAATCTTAAAGATGAACCTATATGAATCTGAATCTCAAAGAAAATAGCTCTGAAGCGAAATCGCTCTCAAGGGTTCAGAAGCAATTGGGGGTGAGCAAGAGAGAGGCGCGATTTGAAGGCGTGAGGATTCAAAATAAGGGTTTACAAAAGGCTTTAACAATCATTCTCAGCTTCAAAATGGGCTCTGAGAGAGAGAGAAAGAGAGATGTGTGTATAACATCTCAGATTCAAAATAAGGGTTTCAAAACAGAGGAAGGTAGAGGCGCGTGAGGCTAACAGATTTGGAGGCGTTTAAATTATAAAACGGTGTCGTTTTGATTAAAGGAATAAGCGACGTTTAAAAAATGCCGTTAATTGTTAATAAAAGTGACGTTTAAAAAAACGTCATTAAAAAAACGCCATCAAATCCCTTTTTTCCTGTAGTGTTGTGTCTTCTATTAATTAGATTTACATTATTAAAAAATAAAAATAAATTAAAAAAAAAATTTGTTGCATGCTAGTGTTTGTTTTCCGAAGCATTGGAGCACCAAAACTGTTTCCAAGAACGAAAAGCCCACTGTTTCATTTATTTGTGATTCATGATTAGAAATTCATATTTATTTAATTAAATATATATATATATATATATATATATGTTATGTTGTTCATGATTACAAATTTCAGAATATAAATAGCCTACATTTCCAATTTATTTGAGTGAATAAATATATTTTTCATAGTGTTTAGTTCTAGGAATAGTTGTATAATTTTGTGAACATGATTCCTAGTTTGCTACCATAATATGCATGTTTCTTTCTTTTATAATTTTATAATATAATTTGCATGTTTATGAGTCTCTAGCTTTAGTTAAAATTGACAGGTTAATTATTTTCTAATTTTCTAGTATAATCAACTTGTTCAATATTTTGTTCATTCTAGTTTAATTCACATGTTTATTATTTCCTAAATTTTTAAGATAATTTGCATGTTCTTTGTTTTTTAGATTTAAGTTTGTGTTACATGCTTATTAATTTCTAGAATTATTTATATGTTAATTGCTCTAAAATTATTTGCCTGTTGATTGTTAGAATGATTTACATGTTTATTACTTTGTAGGGATTTTATATGTAACTCTTGATTATTTAATTATTTAATTTAATATTTGGGAGTTATAAGTTTGCTTTTATAACTTGTCTAGCATTTTAATTTTTTACTTAATTTTGGTATTGAATAGATTGCTAGAAGGTTTAAAATAATTTATTACTTTTACAATTTCTTTCAATTATTTATTTTTTATTTTGTTGTTTTTTTCAATTTCTTTTAATTATTTATTTTTTTTTTTTTTTTTTTTTTTTTTTTTTTTTTTTTTGCTAACTTTCTTTCCAGGAATACCTATGCGAAAGAAAATGGAAAAAAAAAAATACAAAACCAAATAAATAGAATTTGAGATTGCAAAACCAAAAATTTGGACTACTAACCTTATTGTTGAACATAAATACTTAAGCGTGGAAAGGAGTTTTGGACCAATGGAATCCTTATTTGGATTGGTTAACTTTTCTTATAATTGAAGCAATTTTTGCTTAGTAGTGGTTAAATTACCAATTTTTATTGAAGCAAGTTGGTTTGCTTGTAATGTTGGAAGCATTTTAATTGCTTGTAAATTGTTGTAGCAACTTTTAATTGCTTGTATTTTGGTTAGCAATTTTTAATTGCTTGTAAGTTTTGGAACTTGGTTTGTTTTAACTTAATTTATCACTTGGGAAACTTAATTCTATTTTTTTTTTCTTCCACGGACTAGGAGTCAACATGCTCTTGAAAGTTTTGTTTAAGATTAATTGGGTCTTAAGTAGGACCGGTGTGACCCTTCCAGTCTTCCTGGAAACTTCCTGACCATGTTTGATTCTAGAGTAAATGATAAGACTAGTTTTGAATTAAATTTCCGACTTTGGGATTTTTTTAGTGTTAAGTTTAGTTTTTGGAAACACAGAATAGTGAAATTCTGTTGTATGTTTCAGAAATGACAACTATGATTGCTACTGCTAATGTTTGTGTGGATCAGAACCCCGGGTCAATTGGCTTGCCAACCCGTACTGTGACCCTTGTGGTCAACCCTGTTGTTGTGACCTTTGTGATCAATCCTGTTGCTACTCTTGTTGTTCCGGGGGGACCGTTCAACCATCATGAGCGCCCATAGAAGTTCACGGGAGTAAATTTCAAGAGGTGGCAGGAAAATATATTGTTTTACCTAATTACTTAGCCTTGCAAGGTTTTTGAGTAAGGATCCACCACCCATGGAAGAGAATGAGAAAGACAAGCAGAAGCTCATGACTCTAGATGCTTGGAAGCAGTCAGACTTCCTTTGCTGAAATTATGTTCTGCATGGCTTGGCAAATACACTGTCAATGTGTTTTATGCCAAGAAGTTGGCAAAGGAGCTGTGGGATGCTTTGGACAAGAAGTACAAGACTGAGGATGCTAGGGCAAAGAAATTTGTCGTTGGCCGATTTCTGGATTTCAAAATGGTGGACTCTAAAACCATTATTAGCCAAGTCCAAGAGTTCCAAGTTATTCTGCACGAGATTCATGCAGAGGGAATGTTGCTGAGTGAATCATTCTAGGCAGCTGCTTTGATTGAGAAGCTGCCTAATGGCTAGAAAGATTTTAAAAATTATTTGAAGCACAAGTGAAAGGAAATGACAGTCGGAGAGCTTGTTGTAAGGCTCCGCATTAAGGAAGACAACAGGAAGAAAGAGGAGAGTACCTCCACTGTGAAAGCAAACATGGTTGAGCATGGCCAGGCCTCAGGAGTCAAGAAAAAGCCACCAACCAGCAAAAGCTCAAAGCTGGAGGCTAGAGGTGGTGTCTCCAAAAGGTCAGTTTACAAGCCACAGGAACCTACTTATAGGTTCAATGGAAAGTGCTTCAATTGT